GAGCTGATATCTTGTCAGGGCTTGGGGCTTCCTCTTTGAGGTCACAGCTGTGAAAAGTAGCATTTTTTGAACATCTTAACAGACCAGTGAGGATGATGGCACCCCACCACCCAGCCAAGAAGCTGAATGCATTAAAAAAAGTCAGCAATCCCCCAAACGGCAAACTGAAATATCTGTGATATTTATAGGGTTTATTCTAGGTTTAGAAACCAGTGCCACACTTAGATCCAATCAAAAGCTACAGTGCCACTTTGCTGAACTGAGCTCTGGAGCGATGGAGGCAAATTGAACTAGGTACATTTTAAAATGTTGGAAATGTTTACAATTTAAGTTTTAATATCTCACTGTACAAATAATTGAAGTTTCAGTATCCCAAATATGACATATAGCCCAGGTCTGAGCCTGAGATCTGTGCCAGCGAGGCCTTAAACTGCACCCGTTGGTGAGAGGTAAAAAGATGCAGGACAGATGCTAACCTGGCATTGTTGTTGTCGGACGAGTAAGTCATATCTATTACTTGTTTGTCATGTGCTGTTCAGTTTCTTCTCCGTCAGCCCAAACCCCGATTTGAATTTACGACTGTGAATTATGTATCCCACCTATAGGGGGAGCCTGAGTATACCCAAGAGTGAATGTTGCATCATACTGCTTTAAAATGTCACTCACTCTGCATCTGATTAAATGTGTAAAATGTTTTTTTTTTTTTTTTAAACACAGGACAACAGAAAGGTTTCTGAAGAGGATTACGGAAAATGAGGGAACTATTGTATAATTATTTTTTTTAGCGAATTTGAGACGTAAGAATTTTGGATGTAAAAGGAGCAAAAAAATCATTATAATTTACTATGAAGTGTAAAAGAAATATGTTTCCATTTTACTTATTATCGTCTGGAAAAAATAAGTAAATACTAGAAAAGCCACTTGGATCAGATGGATAAACCTGTTTCCACTTCAATGGGACATGTTTAGCAGAAAGAAAACAAGTTATTTTGCATGCAAGTTATTATACGCAGCAAACAGTTCATCTCTTTCTCAATGCTTTTAAATGACCTCCACTACAGACAGATACCTGTATACTGAACATCTTATGCTCTGCGTACACGCGGCCTGCTCTTTAAAACACAAACACCTCTGAGTGCACGGGTCCGCGATGGCCCGGAGTATCAAGGCAGTAGACGGCAGCAGCAATGCGTTAGACCCCCATGACTCAACATCATCATCGCCATGACAGCATGATGGTGACTGACGTATAAAGAGGTGGGAGAGAAGTGACAGGCTGGAACAGGATCGCAGCTCGGTTTGAAGGCAGCTGGGGCAGGCACACACAGAGCCATGCTCGAACAGGGAAGTGACTCAAATGACTTGTCTGCAAACTTAATTGTCCTTTCTCAGCCCACGTATCTGTCACCGCAACACTGGTGCCACAAATTTAACTCTTCGCTGGACACCTTTCAGATCAAGAGACAGTAAAGCGTGCTGTAATGTGCCATCAAGAGTGTGTCTGTGTGAAGGAGGAGCAGGAAACTGCAGAACTCCTCTCGTATTTCAAACGCGGGTGCGAGTAAGTCTTAATGTGGAGTTGCAGAACAGGAAGAGAAACAACACTGCGAGTGAGATCCCACTAGAGGAAGTTGTAATTATTATTCGTGGAAGAAACCAGAGGGAGGAAAGGGCCATAACGTTGCATGATTACCCAAGGACATCAGTGACAGAAAACAAAACACCTTGTCCGTGCCAGAGGGTTGTTGCATCTCCACAGTGGGAGAACAAGCTCACACATTTCATAACTGAAGCAATACGAGTTTAAAACGACCTCATTTCAGCAGAAGCAGAGTGGAGCTCGAGAGCAGAGTCTCTAACAGAGGAATCGATGGCTTATTTGTCTTTATTGCTTAGTGAATGTTGGGAATATTGTGATTGAAACTGCTGAAAGCTTTTCTACCATATTCTGACTGTAAGTTATCATATGTTTCTAAAATTAGACACTGGAACATGATGGAGCAATCACATACATTGTTGGGTTGTTTAACCTGAATATGTTGCGCAATTGTTCTCCTGTCCTGCAGGAAGTGTTGAGAGACAGCCTGAGCTAATTTTGAAGCGTCTTGAGCTCAGCAAAGTCATTTATAGTAATTTATGGAGCATCATTTGATTAATAATAGCTTTTAAATCAACTATACTGTAATATTTCTCACTTAAAAGTAGTCATTTTGATCATTCAAATTAAAGGAAGAAATGTAAAAAAGGGATCAATGAATTAACATCTCCTTGTTGACAGGCTGCTCCTTCAGCTTGTGTGTCAGGTTCTGTGAAAAATACCGTCTTCACAACCATCACCACCACCACCACCACCCACCAATCAAGATGACTGCTCATGGGGAAAATATGGCCTTTTACTTTCAAAAATGAACACACTCTACCTTTGAAAATGGGGTTGTGAGGGCACTGAAAACAATCATGTACCGCAAGCTGTAACAGCACAAACATTCTTTGTGCACCCACACACACACACACAGAGAGCATGTGAGTGTGTTTGTGTCTGAGGGAGAAAAAGAGAAAGAGAAGAAAATAGAGAGAGAGGCCTGTGTCTTCCTCTACTACGTCCGAATTACACTATGAACACTATGAAAATGAAGTTGCTTGTAGTTAATTAGTGCTTAACAGTAAATGAAATAGGGGTGTGAATTAAGTTGCAAATAAGTTTGCTGTCTGGGGACCCTAAATGGAAGTTGTGAAACAAGGTCAGTTGCCATCTTTCTGCAGCAAAGACTTTGCAGAGGAGACTGTCCAGATGTGGCAGCTAAGCTAATTTTCCAACATCTCAGAAGGGGACCAGAAACTCTGACGCTGGTCAGTGGGGTTTCTCTGTCAGAGCACATGAAAGTGCCGACTAAAAAGCCAGGAAACCTAGTCACCGCCTGCCTGTCTTTACTTACAGTGTGGCACTGGAAAACAATATTTTACATGCTCAGATAAAGAGTAAGCATCTCTCCTCCTTGAGTCACTCTGCTGACTCAATAAGAAAAGGCTAAAACAAATGAACAGGCAAAAACACAGAACCTCAAAGTGGTTCCACCACATTTTTAACCATGTTATCTATAGAAGTAATGAGGCAAGACACACTCTCGTCCTCTATTGATTGTGGGGTTGATGGGACAGCTAACGACCAGCAGACCGTCCACAGACATTTCTGGAAACCAACGGTGGTTAAACTCCCTCATCTGCCCCAGAGATGCGGAGGTAAATCGAGTGTATAAAACCTCTCCAGTCCCACGGAAGAGTGCTATGTCTGAGCCAAACATGACACACCATCCTCCCTGCGTGCCTCCTCCTGCAGACACTTGAATCAGTGCGTGAAAATGGTGAAATGGCAGAGGACGGTGTCATTTTCACCTCCAGTGTTCACGCTCTCGTGTCCAGGCCGACACAAACACCGGCACTGAGCTCAGACACATTTTGTCTGTGGACATGTTGATTTAGGTTAATGATCCCTCTGATAATCAGATCCTGCTAACCATTAGAGCCGACTGAAGCATGGTGAATGCTTGTCAGAGGGAGCGAGGTAATCATACCACCCGCAAACAGCTTTGAACAGACTCTCACTGGAACTAAACACCAAGGCTCACACAGAGTCCTTGCAGTCAACTACAAAGTCTGCGGTTTGTGTGCAGAGAGGAAGGAGCCGTTTAGCAGCCATACATCACTCCACTATGACATGTGCTAAAATAGGAAACATCCCTAAGCAAATTTAATGCTGGTTTTCTCCTTTTTTTGGCCTGCGTAGGAGCAGCTATAGTGGATAACCCTTATGCAGTCAAGCCCAAAGGGGAAAAAGGGGTATTCCCTCCCTCCATTTATCTGTAACACTGCTTGCATGAGACAGGAAGTTCACAGCTAAAAGCTAAAGAGATGTTATCTGTGGCAAGACGTTGCTTTTTTCCATGAAGTCATCACAAGCCCCTGGGTAGGGTGGCTGGCTGCAACAAAAGGGCTTCTGTTTGACTGGCACAATGTGCCGCTCTACTCCACAGCTTGGCCACACATGCAAATGACAGGCCAGGAGCTTGGGGAAGGTGTGGTGATGTCAGGTCCGAGCTCGACAAGAAAACACAACTCAAACATCAGCTGAATGTGGGGGAAGATTACGGCCTGGGGCTCATGTCTGTGTGATCCACACTGCTAAACTGTATCTTCACCTGGAACCAACATGATGAACAGCAATTTGACTCGCACTGTTGATGTTTGGACAGCAGAGGCTTGTGTGATCTTTATCTCTCACACTTCCCTCTGAGGTCTAGAAATCTGAACTGGAGAGTTAAAACCATGTGGAGAACAACTGTTGAAAGTGAAAACAGGTTGCTCAAGATTTACTGTGTCATTATCTCTCCCCCCTCCTTATCTTCTTCCACTGCAGTAGCCTGAGCATGCCTGCATTTCCTGATCCTCCATGACAGCCAGGGATGTCCACTGTCTCTCTTGAAACACACGCACGCGCGCGCACACACACACTATGTACGTCAACTAGGTTCCACACACACACGCGCTTGGTACTTGTGTCAATACTTGGTCAAGCAGGGTTGCAGGTTAGTTAGTCGATAAGAATAAAAGCTTTCTCTGACAATTACGCACAGCGTGCTCTCAAACCACACCTGGCTTGAGGTGACCCCAGCGGGTACCCTGGAGAAAAAGAAAAGTCAATCGTGGTTTATTAGCATTGGTATGTGCCCTGTCCAGCTGTCTCTGTGTCAATGTATCCTTTAAACACGCGGTACAATGCGCGCGGAATGGTTTCAACACGAGCATATGCATGAATGAATGTGCCACTCACATTTCCACCGACTGCGCGCCACGGGGAATATTGTTTTACGCACAAGAGCGGCCTGAAATATAACAGCAGCAGTGTGATTTCCTGGCACATGGATGGAAAAAGGCTGCAACACGCTGCAGCTGGGAACTGAGATGAAAACATAATAATAACAATACATTATAAGACTACTCACCGTTCGGTCCATATTTGTCCAAACTGACTTTGACTTGCTCCTGAGTCAGCCCAGTGTTCTCGTTCACGCCGAAGTTGTCTAAAACTTCGGTCGCCGATTTTGTGTGCGCATTTTCCATCTTGATGCACCAGGCTTAGACAATCAGACTTAAAGGCATGTAGTATCGAAATGCATGTATTGTGGTAATCGGAGGGTGTTGCTGGAGGGAAGAAGGAGGTCAAACGTCTCCACCACCGGTGTGGACGCTTCGGGGCGGCGGAGGCTCGCTCGGTTCGCTCTGTCACCTGCTGTCCCCCCTGAAGACAAACCTCCGGATCTTCGGCACAGACGTTGTTGTTCCTCTGTCGGTCGACTGCTGCCGCTGCTACTTCATCTCCTCCATCTGAAGGTGTGCTCTGTGTGCGGAGCGCCTCCCCGCCGCTCGGTTACTCCCTCCTGCGCTCCCATTGGCTGCGCGTACCTGAGCGGAGCCGTCAGCCAGGCAAACACTTGACATATCTTCGAACAGAGAGCTCAGAGTCAGTGCTGTCAGGGAAGCTCTTCTTGGTTTCACCACACTCAGCTGCGCATCAGCCCCTGGAGCTGACAGGGGGACATTGTGCCTTGCTCAAGGACCCAGAGAATGGTTTTCTGCTGCTTGTGTGAGATTAGGTTTTACAGAGCTTGTTGCAAGTATTTATAATAACTTTATGTGTATAGCATTTATCCAAACAAGGTTACAAAGTGCCTCACAAAATAAATCCATGGCAACAAGAAGAATCATTTATAATAAAATTTCTTCAATTCAGTTCAGTTCTAAGGGCCAAATCATAACA